TGACAAATCATTTATGAAAGTGATGAGGGGTTGGGAGTGAGTCGTTTTTCAGGTCTCGGCTTATTATCAGTGTTATGTCATGTTGACTAAGATTATGTGTGTGTCATGTGAATGCATATTACTCAATACTATTACAAATGTTACCTCAATTTGATATGCTTGAACTATTACGAGTTTTCCTTAGTCAGTAAACGAGAGCGAGAATCGAGGACCCGGCGACACGACAAGCTACTTAAAATCCGATTGTCCCAAACCCCCATCGAGTAAAAGAAGAAGACTTGATATGTAGTAGAACCTGTATTCTACAAGCATCCAGAAAGTACGCGATCCGAGTCCAGAAGAAAGCAAGGATCCGGAACTAAGGATCCGGGTCCAGGTCATAAAACGTTACAGATAATGCGTATTTATAAAGTTAGGTTGAATAGGAAACAACATGGAAGTCTGTAACATTGACAGTTAGGACGACCAATAAGAATCGATCAATAGAATTAAACTCAAAAACAATAATCTTAGGATATTAGATGAATATCCTAACAAAAACATGAATGCTTGAATTAACAAGAATGGGTTAGAGTAATGATAAATAAATATAGACGATGAGACTGAAAAATTCAGATTTATAAATATATATATGTATGATTCATCAGTGGAACGATTCATTTTTAGGCAGGTGAATGTACCATTTTCGATGTCTTCAAAACTGTAATCTTGATCGTTCAGGTACATTGTTGTTCAGTCAGTCAGTCAGTCAGATGAAACGTAGAACTTCGTACGTAAGTACATCAGTTCATGTCGTCATACCACATCAGCACAGAGATGTAATTGTCAATTCAAATCCCATTAGTAGTAGAGGTAGTAAGGGAATTAGAAGTAATCGGAGAGGTTAGGATTAGAAGATATTATTATTCAAGAAGTATGATTCAGTGAGAAAAGTTTAGAAAGTCAAAACTAGAGTTGTTGAAGAACCCAGAAGGTTAGGATTTGAGAGAACACAAAGAATAAATGCACAGGCGCCATTGCGAACGATTTTGAGCCATGTCATTCAAGGTCTCTAACCATCGATTATTATCATCTCGCGGACCCCAACCAGGTAGTCGACGATTACCGACATGGCTAAGTCCAATCATCAATGACTTCATGGATTTCTGCCATGTTTTGGTTTGGCCGCCCCTAACTTGCTTCCAACCTATTCCTACACTACAAAACAAAGCTCGACGAGGCAGTCGGTGGTTGGGCATACGGAATACATGTCCCAACCACCTCAACTGATGAAGTGTCACTACTACGTCTATTGATCTGCCATTCTTACCTCGCATCTGATTCCTAATAACAGCGTTTCACACTCGGGTGTCCCAGGATATACGAGCAATGCTTCGAAGACACCTATGATCGAAAACCAGTAACCTACGAATATCTTCTACTCTTAACGGCCATGCTTCACAACCATAAAGTAAGACGGAGCGAACCACTGCACAGTACACTCGTCCTTTAGTCAGAAAACAGATATCTCGCCTTCGCCATAAGTGATGCAGGTTGGCAAAAGCTAATCGAGCCTTCTGTATCAGAGCTGAGATTTCGTCAGTCACCAGGCCATCAGCACTGACATTGTTGTTAGGGGTAGATGATCCGAAGCAAAGAAGACTTCATCTCTTTTTTTATATGGTGTTCATTATCTACCAAATGAGAAACATCGAAGCTGTTAGTAGACTTTATAACCCGTTTGCCTAGCCATATCGGTATATTTTCTCAAGGAAACTTGTACAATGCCACTTGAGTACAGCTTATTTAACTATTTCAACAGTAGTTGAATAGGTGTACACGCATTGAATAGTCCATTATCGATTACTTATCTTTGATTCATTATGTAAGTACTAGTGTAGTTAGTAGGGTAATGTTACTGATTATGATATAGTTTTAATAGCTACATGAAACAACACATCCCTCAAGATTTCTGTCATACATTACTGACATGTTGAAACAAGGACGTCAAACTCTCAGCAGAGCACCTCCAACATTGTTTGCATAAAGTCGAGTCTCTTCGACTAACAGTCACACTTCAACTTGATCGGAAGATTCATTCAAAATTATGAATTAATTCAAAGTTTTTTTCAGTTGTGAAAACTGTAGAGTTTCATTCAAATCATGAATCAATCAATGGTAGACCACCATTCGAAACCTGGAAGTATTGAATGGCCGTTTCGTTCCAGTATGAGAATCGTTAGCAGTGCGTACACTGAAATTGAACCCGGGACTTTTGTTCTCTTGAGCGAATGCCTAACTTCTAGACCACTGAGCCAGTATCTAACGGTTTTAATGTCTAACATTCATCAATCCAAGATATTGCTCAATTTCATCCATTGTTTCCGGTAGGTAACGGCCTAAACGCGATAGGGTTGAACTACACTGATGGAATCTTCTCACTAAAACTGGAAGAATTTCCTCAAAAAGCTAGTTACTAGTGAGTACATTGTTATGATTTTCATCATACAACGACGAAACAGCCATCCAGTGCTTTCAGGTTTCTTTCTAATGGTGTAGTGCCTCCACATATATTCCAGTTCGCTTACATCTAACTTTGTTAAGCCCTTTCGATTAATCTATTTAACCAAGCCATTCGCGTAGCAACAACTTATATGTACCCATTCGTTCTTATTATGAGCCCATATGACGTATCATTTGACCTTGTTAATCATTCGTCGCTTTTATTCATGTGTACCCATTTCACCTGTTGCATGTCTGTCTTATATTTGTCTGACTATATATTCTTAGTCATGCTCTATTTCTTTGAGTTGGCTCGCTAGCCTCTCCACTTCGTTTTATTCACATTGCTTCTCCGCTTCGCTTTGTGGTATGTCCTAAATAAACGTATTCATTACTTCGAATTCATCACCTGATTTATAACCGTTAGACGCTACCTAGTAACGATTGTCTGAACGAGCTAATAACGAAACTTAAGAACACGGAGTAAAATGGACCCCACAATGGTGGTCTAACAATGATCGATTCATGATTTTCAAATTTATCAAACTCTTCAATTTAATTTGTCTAACAAACAGACAGTGTTATTTTTAGCCCGAAGTAATTTATTTACCTCTCTCTCTGTAATATTCATGTCTATATGAGTACACTTTTAAATCGATTGTATTGGATAGCCTAGATATTTAGTTGAATGTAACATTACATAAGTTCAACTATGAGGTCACTATCCACTGAATAATACAATTTCAAGTTCATTCACTTGGCTATTTACCGTGATGATTAAACAGTTTGAATTATATATGTGGTTGTGGAGATTGTTAAGGTTGATTGAAATCATGAATCGATTAATGTTAGATATTTGAAATCACCAATCAATCATTGTTAGACCAACATTAGAAACCTGGAAGCACTGGACGACCGTTTCGTCCTGGTATGGGACTCATCAGAGTTAGACATTACCACCGTTGGACGCCGGTCCAGTGGTCCGATTATAAGGCGTTCGCCTACAATGCCGAAGGTCCCGGGTTCGAATCCTGCGAGGAGCAGGAGTCGTGGATGCGCACAGCTGATGAGTCCCATACCAGGACGAAACGGCCGTCCAGTGCTTCCAGGTTTCTAATGATGGTCTAACAATGATTGATTGATGATTTCAAATGTGTAAAAACACAAACCTCCAAAACTCTGCCCCAAAATAATGTTAGATAGCCATTAAAAACCTGGAACTACTGGACTGCCATTTCGTCCTGGTATGTGGCCACATTACATTAACACCGTTGTACGCCGGCTCAGTGGTTCAGAAGTAAAGCGTTCACGCGCGTAAAACAAGCAGTCCTGGATTCGAATCCAGTGAATAGCAAAAGTCATAGATACGCACTGCTGATGCTTAGTACCACAATAGAACAAAACGTTCATCCAGGCCATTCCAGGTTCCTTTCTAATTCTGGTCTAACAATCACTGATTCATCATTTCAAAATGACTAGATAATTGAAATTATAATCATAAAAATTAAAACATTGTATTAATAAAGCAGGAAATATATTTTCTTTCTTTAGAAAAAAATACAATATAACTTTTCATTGATATATATACGTATATATATGTAAGATTAGCGGTATCACATACATGCACACACACGCGCACACTCACACAAAATGATAATAATCATGAAATAAAAAGAAAGGAAGAGACAAGGCAACAAAGACATGATGAATTGTACTACTGTTATTTCGCATTTTAGTATTAGTAGTATTGGTGATGGTGAGAAAATATCTGTATGATAGATTAATTACATTGTGAGGACGGTAATGCAATGAGTCATTCAATTTCATTTGTGTGTGTGTCTGTCTATCTATTGATATCATAGGAAAAAATGTATATCAGTGTGTGTCTATGCTACATCATGTTATTCACGCACTCGAGAGTACGTATGTGTGTCTATCTCTGCATGTGTCTGCATATCTATATCTACATAGAAGAGAGTAAAAACACGTTTCGGCAAAAACACTAGGGATCTGAATCTTCATTGATCGATCAATAATTCTATTGGTATTTTACTATTGAATAAAAAGATGGTCATTTAGGATTATTATGATTATTATTATTCTGCATAAGCGATATTTGATGCCTAATTAAATAAATGGGCCTACAAACCTTATCATGTAATTGATGTAGTTTTATTCTAGGCGAAGAAAAAAGAACACTTCGGCTACATTGTCGAGGAGATAATGAAGCAATTCAGCTGAAGATAATATGCTAACGAGTAGTAAATTGTTGGGTTGAAAATTATATCAATAACTGACAGTAATAATAATAACAAGAATAATAATGATAAATAGAGATTTAGAGAAGCATATCCGTTAAACAAAGTGTACTAATCAAAGAGAATAAGAGCCTTTTTCCTAAAAAAAGAAAAACTGTCTTCGAAAAACCACTGTTACAAACATTGGATATCTGCATAAATTCCTTGTATATATATATAGACGTGCTTATTATTACTGATGAAATGAAAGAGTGTTGATAATGAGTGAAAAAAAAGATCCTAGTCGGAAGACAAATAGTTTGATGATATATTATTCATCATCTAAAATCGATAAGAATTTGATTGATTTTTGTTATTGAGATTATAATTCTGTATAGTATTGACCATAATGTTCATAGGCGAATTAATCAATTGATTAGTTTGTTGTATAGGAGGAAATGTTGTTGTTAATTTACATGAAGTGAAATATTTACCTGAATTAATTTCATTCATCATTGTAGAAGAAACAGTTGCAGTATTTTGTCGATCCAAATGTTGACAACATTGATTATGTGATGGTGACCATACAGCTAAATTTGATGAGGATGATGATGAGAACGAATGATGATATGTATTTGACGGTATAAAAGGTCCTCCTCCTACTCCTCCACCATCTGTATATGTAGAAGTACCAGTAGTAGGAGTAGTAGTGGTAGTAGTAGTCTGTTGATCATATGTACTTTCTATTCCAATTCCTGTATCCGGTGATGAATTTGTAAAATCAGAACGTTTCAATTTAGGTGATTGTAATACAAACAATGATGAAGGCATTGTCAGTTGATTATCATAATTTGACATAGTAAAATTTAAATTTGTCGTTGATGTAACATATCGAGATGATGGTCGAGTTATCATCAGCATAGAATGTTGTTGTGTTGGAATTTGTTTCTTGTTGTCATTAGATGTTGGTGATATGATTGTGGATTGATATAATCGTGATGTATGATTGAATGTAGTTGATAAGGGATACAATAAAGGCATCGATGGTGGTTGTTGGATTGATGAAAAGCTATTCTGTACAGATTGATGATGAAAACTTGTTGTCATACAAGAAGGTTGATTATGTGATGTGAAATGATGACTTACATTGTTATTAATATTAGGAGTCGTAGTAGTAGAAGTACTAGTATCAACATTCGTTATCGTTGAACAAGGAATAACATTGGATGGCATAATTTGTACACAATTCATTGTACTAGTTGTTCGATCATTCATCACATTATTAATCGATTGGAAACCAGTACTACTTTTGTTGTTATTAGTAGTAGCAACACTGCTAAGATTAGTAGTATTATTGATAGGAACTGATGAACTCCATACATTTCCAAAACAATCATCATTTATATGCATCGATCGACTGACAGATGGATGAACAATATGTGATGTGGATAAACTCAACTGATGTCGATTATGAGATGGTGATGATGAAGATAAATGATATCCATAATCATAAGTGAAATTATTTGTACCAGTTGTATTTGTATGATTATGATCAAGAGTTTTGTACTGTTGCTGTTGTTGTTGTTGTATTGAATAATCATCATCTTGATTTTTTGGTTCATCATAAATTGATTCTTCAATTTGATTTTGATTTTGAAATGATTTAAGATTTTGTTTTGATGTAGATAATATATTCAATGTTGATGTTGTAAATAATGGTTTTGATGATTTGCTCATTTGATTTAAACAACAAGTTATCGATGGTGATGGTAAATTTGAACAATTATGATAAGATGATAACATCATACTAGAATATAAAGGTTGTTTATAAGTTGAATGAATCGATTGATGTGTACATGAAATATCATTCGGATTAGTATGATTGTAATTTAATTTAGTAATATTTTGAGTTGAATGATATCCAGTTGTTAACATTGTATTCGTTTGTGATACAGGCGATTGAATATTATCTTCACATTTATATGTTGGTGTAAAATGTGTAAAACTTTGATTGATAGGTAAATGAGATGAAGTGGAACAATACATCAAAGGAGTAAATGCTAATGAACTCTTAGTATTCTGATTACTATTAGTTATCGTTGTAGTAGTAGAAGGAGTAGTAGTACTAGTAGTAGCAGTAACGAGATTAGAAGTATATGGAAAGACTTGTGGTTTACTATTTACATCATTGATAATTGACGACGTTTCATGTAATTTACAATGATTACTTGGAGTTCTATGATATACATTCATATAATTTGACGTTTGATGACCAGTAGTAGTAGTAGTAATAGCAGTGGCAGTAGTGCAATGATTCTGTTGATGAATCGATATCGTTGTCACAGGTAAATATGTCATCATTTCTGGTTTTCTCTCTTTATTTTCATTATCGATTTGTGAATAATAATGCTGATTATCATGATAAGGTTTAGGACGAATCAATAAAACTGGTGCTTTACTTGTAATTTTCACTGGAAAATTATTCAACTGATTAAAATTATCATCAACAGTTTGATAATAACTTTTATGATTATGATGATGATGATGATTAGTAGTTGTAGTAGTAGTAGGTTGTGCAACATATTCTTCATTATTGATCGATAATTTAGGATTAATGAATTCATTGGACATAAATTGATTATTTGTAGATAATTTGTTTAAATGTGGTGAAATTGGCGCGGATAAATTATTTGAATGTGTATTTCTATCGGCATGACGATGATGATGATGAGTGTGATGAGTATGATGCAGCAAAGAAGACAATGAATGTGATTGCATTGGAAAATGTCCATTACGTACATAAAAATAAATATCGTCAATTTCATCGCACAATGCATTCATCTCATCAATTTCACTAGTAAACAATGATGAAGATAAACTAAATTGTGTATTTAAATTAGAATTGATTAAATGATTCATTGAAGTGATATCATGAATATCATTAGATGATGATGTATGCATGGAATTATGATAACTATGACAAGTCATACTACTATTATAATGATTATTAGTAGTAGTAGTACTACTGGTTGTTGTCGTGATTGAATTGTTATTATTATTACTATTATTATTATTATTATTACTATTCAATGTTAAATAATGCATAATTTTCGGTTGAATTTCATTCAACTGATTTAAATCTTGCGGTATATCATTCAATTCTTCATGCATTGTTAATGAGGCAATCGCAGCTATACTTAATATGGCTGATTGAATCAATGCGGTTGTATTCAAACGATTGGTGATTGGTCCAAATGTTCTAGTCAATGGTAAATACGACGGTCCAATATTAGATAAATGTGTTATATCTTCTAAATGTTTTAATATATAACTTAAACCTTGAACAGGATGATATGATGCCAGAAAATGAGCTACTTTAAATGCATGTACTTCTAATTGTTGATGATATGTTTCACATGTATTTGTATCAGCTACCAGAAAATAATGATGCGATAACATATCCGTGGTGACAACAAAAAATCGACTTTTGGTTGGATTATCACCATGATCATCACCATTGATGATGATAGATTGATTTTGTTGTTGTACGGACTGAGTACAATCGGATAATGGTTCTAAAAATATTAAATCCCCATGATGACATGAACAAATTTGTAACAATGAATGCATATTAATGCAGTTCGGATTTGTATTTGACAGTATTGATTGATTAGGAGATTTTCCCATGAAAAACCATTCATTTGAATGTAAACCAACAATTGGGCGTGTAATGAGCGGTAATCGATATGTACTTAACAAGGATAGAATATTATGTACACCGTGGTCAGAGATAGGATGATAATCCAGTTCATTGTTGAATAATTTCATATGACTAGAATTTTTATGATGATGTTGATGATGATTAGTACTATTATGTACACTTATTGTTGGTGGGATTTTTACCGGACTACACATGATTGATTTCGAAGCTAATGATAAATACACCAATCGAGGACCTGTATGGAACCAATTCAATGCATCCTGAGAAGATAAATTTGTTGACAGTGTGGATGAAGAAGCTAAAGCAGCCAATGCTTTCCCACCAACAACAATACATTGTAACATTGAAACAGGTTTTAAACGATGACGTACAGAAAGACGATATGATGAAATCTGATTGTCTTCTTTGTGTACAAGACGACATAATCGACAATCAATTAGTTGTAGTATAGTTCCCGGACGAAGAATACCAATTTTATCTGCATTTAATGTTATCATAGAAGGATCATCTTTTTTAAGTAAGTCAGTTGAACTCATAATTAGAGATTGTGTATTGGTTGAGAATAAACATTGTGTATCTTTTCTTAAGAGAATAAATTTTGGTTTAGCACGCCATACTGCTTTACAACTTGACCAAACTGGAACTTCTGGACAAATTTTTGGTCCAGTATCAGATGATCCAATATGACTTTTTTGTACTAATTCAAACCATGTAGGACAACAAGAAGTAAGAACTACAGAATGTGAACAAGATGATTTCATCTGTGTACTATTTGGTACATTTTGGTTGTAACCATTCTTATTTGTCGATGTATGATGTGGCTGTGATTTGTCAACATTTGAAACAATAGAATTTGGTAATAACCATTCAGCTTGAATCAATGTTATGCCAGGAATAATTTTCATAGCTAATGCACGTTCATTTTTAAGTACACAACGACATCCTGGTTTACGACATTCAATTTGTACAAGACGTGATGGTTTATCAACTGGATAATTTGATGAACCAATACAACTTTCTTGTTGAATAAGATCTTGAATTGTAAAACGCATTGAATCTAATAACTGATTATAACCCATACTATTATTATTACTAGTAGTTGTATGACCTCTTTCATCGCTTCTTTCAACACTGCTACGAGTAATCCATTTGAAATGTGGTCCAGAATCGTAAGTATCCACAGCACAGCTCATGAAATATGATCGATATTATACAAACATTATATATTGTAATAGCAATTGATATGTATCCATACTTTGGACTGGGGTATGATTTCTATTTTTATAACGTGCTGAAATTCATGTTATCATTGTAACAAATGTTTCTATATACAAATGAAAATAAAACACATCTCATTCTAATCAACAGTATACAATCCAATATAATCAGTAAAGGCAAATGGAATAAAATTACTGTGTCATTATTATACCAAAATAATTCGGTTACATTGAAACCAGTATCATTAATCAAAAAGCCTTATTGTTACAACCAATCAACATGAAGGTTATTTTGTGGAATTTTTGTGATCAGTCAATTACCAGCTGATTTTGTTGATTTCTTATTGGTTCATTTTAAACACTACAAAAGAATTAACCAATGAAAATGGTCTATTTATTATTCATGTTGTTGTTGAAATAACAGCACATGAACAAAATTAAACTAGCCATACATACACACCTACACAATGTGGTATTCAATTCAGCCTGTTTCTTTGTTAATTTCGAGGTGACATGCATGATTTAATGTGTTGTCCATTAGAAGATAAGGTGTAACGCATGAGACAAAAAACGAAATTGTGAGAGAGCAGGTTCTACACAATTAGATGTCGCAAAATTCTATCCGACGATCGAACCCATTATTATTTAAGATTTGGATTTTAGACCGGTGAATTTACATCCGATGATTGCTCAAATACTAACTTTCATTGATTTATGGTGTCAAGTTATTAGAATCTATTTTTCATGAATGATATTCATCTGACTACCAACATTACTGAATTCCAAAAGTGATAGATAGATCATGGATACTACTGTGCACAGGAAACCTATGCACGAAAATTACATCTGTTCAGTACTCTTTGAATAGTTGTTTTGTTTAAGTCACCTAGTGATATAGAACTATGGAAACGAAAATAAATTATACAATATTAAATTCTAATTTCTATATCATTCACAAGTTTATATGAGAATTACTCTCTCATAGGGTTGAGATATGTGTTACGAATGTAGTAGTCGAATGTAACTGGGAAGTCTGATCAGAGCAGATGGCCTGGTGATTGACGAAATCTCAACAAGGATACAGAAAGCTCAATTGGCTTTTGCCAACTTGTGTCATTTATGACCTAGGTGAGATATCTGTTTGCTAACTAAAGGTCGAATGTACTGTTCAGTAGTTCGCTCCGTTCTGCTTTATGGATGTGAAACATGACCGGTAAGAGTAGAAGATATTAGTAGGTTACTCGTTTTCGACCAAGGATGTCTTGGAAGCAATGCTTGTATATCGTGGGACGCCCGAGTAAGCAATGCTGCAATTAGGAAGCGAGTACTAGGTAGGGATGGGAGATCAACTGATGAAGTAGTGAAACTTCATCAGTTGAGGTGGTTGGGACATATGTTATGAATGCCCAACCACCGACTGCCTCGAAGAGGTATGTTTGGTGGTGTAGGAGTAAGTTGAAAGAAAGCTAGCTGCGGCCAAACCAAAACATGGCAGGAATCCATAAAGTCACTGATAATTGGACTGAGTCATGTTGGTAGGTTCCGACTACCTGGTTGGGTCCTGCGAGACGATAGTAGTCGATGGTTAGAGACCTTGAATGACATGTCTCAAAACGGTTTGCAATGGTGCAGGTACATCCACTCGTTGTATTCTTTCAAATTCTAATCTTCCGAAATCCTCATCACCTCTATCTTTCCTTTTTTAAATTTATTTCACTGAATTATACTTCTTGAATAACATCTTCAAACCATAATCACTTCGATTACTACCAACACTTCTACAACATGTACCACTATGGGATTTGAATAGAGTATTGCGTCTCTGTGTGTGTACTATCGTGATATGGCAACTTGAACTAATGTACTTACATACGAAGCTCTATGTTATTACTGACTGACCAGCTGACTATCTCCTAGGTTAAATAAGACTAGATTTTCCACTACTCTCGATATCGCGCTATACTCAAGTGATAATTTATATACATCTCAAGTAATCTACATGACTAAACTCATAGTCTCCGATATGGTCAGCTTAGTCACATATAATTCACTCAATAAGTTCCTAAGTCTTATTCACTCACCCAGTATTTGTCTCCGAATCTCGGGTAACATTCCAAATTACGCGTTGCCTTGTGAAACTCATTTTCCTGACTTGAGTCAAACTCACAGCTAGAGGTTAATACCTACCAGGTATTGTAAGATTCTTTGATGACTACATAGGAAAACATGATGTTGTTACAAAAATATCCTAGTAAGAACAAGTAGGAAAATAGATTGAAACCACTATTGCGCGAGCCAGTCCATAACGTTCTAAAAATCGATGTACATTGGTCGCTCTTGACCCCGATGGGGATCAATAAACTATTTGAAATTCAATAAGCTAATTTCTATTTGAATGTATTAATTGGGATATAAGTGTATTTTTCTCATCTCATTTGCGTTATAGTCCTGTTTGTTGTATATTTTATTGGTTTACAGTTCTCGAGTTAGAAATAAGTTGGATATAGATTTTTCAACCAAGTTGTCTTCTCCCTTTACTTACCATTTAGTCAGGTCATAGGTCAGTATTAGTATAGATCTCTTCTATCTACCCTCAAAACTGTTCAGTTGCAACTGAACTCAAGAGTTACAAGTGTCAAGGTCAAGTTAAGTAATCAATCAATCAATTAACAACGTAGAAATTCGTACGTACATACATCATTTCAAGTTGCCATATCACATTAGCGCACAAAGATGCAATTGTCAATTCAAATCCCATAGTATTAAAGGTAGGGAAAGTATTAGCAGTAATGGGAGAGATTAGGGTTTTATAATATGATTCAAGAAGTAGAATCTACAGAACTAAACTTTTGAAGAAAAAAATAAAGGTGATGAAGAACTCTGAAGGTTGGGATTTGAGAGAACACAAAGTGTGGATGCACCTGCGTCATTGCAAACGATTATAAGCCATGTCATTCAGGGCCTTTACCATCGATTACTATCATTTCGCGGACCCCAACCAGGTAACCAACATCTACCAACATGACTCAGTCCACTTGTCAGTGACTTCATGCATTTGTGCCATGTTTTGGCTTGGCCGCCTCTCGCTTTCCTCCAACCTATTCCTATACCACAAAACATAACTAGTCGAGGCAGTCAGTCGTTGGGCATATGTAACATATGTCCCAACCACCTTAAATGGTGCAGTTTCATTACTTCATCTACTAACCTGCCATCCTTACCTAGCACACGTTTCCTAACAACAGAATTGCTTACCCGGTTGTCCCATGATACACGAGCAATTTTTCAGATACACCTGTAGACCCCTCGGCGTTACTGCCGATCCCAAGCCAACATAAAGGAGGAGGGTTGGAATTGGGGTTGACGATCCCATCCCTCAAAAAACTAACTCTTTAAAAAACGCTAACAAGTGATCTATTATGTCAAGGTTGTAAAACAGATCGAGATAATTCTCTCTGAATGTACATTCATCATGAACTTATGCGCAGAGAGATCAAACGTAACAACATTGCTTGACTGATTTTTAATGAAAGGGCAGCCGAGCTAATAATTCTCTTCATTCTATTGCGCCACTGTTGGGGACGTTAGATCCTCAGAACTCACTTATAAATCGTCCTAATTTTGTATTCTATTACTGAAATTTTGAATTTTCATGTTTTCGCACAAGTTGATATTCAGGTTACGTTTCTCATTGAGGAAAATCCTTGACTGTCATTTGTTGATGGATTATGTTAGTACGACATTTTGTGGCTCTCCAAAGGGCGTTTCTATCATTGTATAAATAAGCTTGATTTGTTTGCTTGTTAACCTCGTATTCTCTGGGTGCTTGAAGAATACACTTTCTACGTCTTATCAAGACTTCTTGATATAATTAGTCGGGCCAGGGACAAACGGATTAGAGTAGCCTATTGTGCCACTCTATCGTTGATCTTTGTTCCGTTTACCGAGTAAGGTGAACTCGTAATAGTTTCGAGCATATCAATCGGCAAGCATATCAGCTGCGAAATTCTCTAAAGATGTAAAGATAATGTCTACAATGTTTTTGATGACTTTTTTTGAGAATTCTGTTCTGTGTGTGAGTATTCTTCATACAACATTCAAATATCATGAGGAATATTCCCGTCGTTATCACTATTGTCATCATCTTGGTCTCGGTTATGTTAGTGAAACGTTATTCAGATGAACTCCGCTTGGAGACCTTCTTCCGGTCCCAAGCCTGAAGAGCTGAAAATGGGATTAGCAACCGCATTCCAGGACGTAGTAAGCTAGAGAATGCTGGTAGGTATCCTACGCTTCATTAAGGATAAAAGGTATAACTAATTAAATTTGTCAAATCAAACTTAAAGACGTCAACTTAATTCAATCTGAAATTTCTGTAAAAATTCACTATATATCAAATGTTTATAAGCATATATTGGCCAAATGAAATCTCTTTCGCTCTCTCGAGGAACAAAACACCTATCCATGCATATCAGTAAACACAGACACGACAATGCACAAGCCAGTTCCTCATCATTCCACCAGAAACTCTCATTCAACATTTATACTGCCAACTGACAAATACACCAGTTTCCTTTAAAATACCGCATTATCTATCTATCTATGTGTAAAGTATCCCAATGTGAATTATCTATGGTGTATTAACAATGTGTGTCTGTCCAACGATCTATTCAATGTACGTATATGTCCATGCTTTTTGTATCAATGAACCAATTCCATTCGGTTGTTTGTTTTTTTTATCTCCTTCATACATAGGATGGCGCCATTTTTGAAATATGGTTGCCAATATCCGTAATAATTGTTATTTTATTTTCAATGTACAATTTCCGATTCATTGATTTCGCTACTATTGATATTCACAATACTAATATAAAAACTAATACTTATAGTAGTAATAATAATACTATTATTATTATTATTATTATTATTATTATTATTATTATTATAACTAATCTGATGTTTAATGTCAGTTGGAT